TCATCTAATTAAATAAATTTTTATTTTTTATATTAACCAGCTGGTAAGTATTGTATTACAAATTTACTTTTACATCACAAATAATTTTTATTAAAACATCATATAATTAAATAAATAAATTTTTTATAACAACCAGCTGGTAAATGTTATATTACAAAATTTACAAAATAAATTTTTATTAAAAAATCATATTAAATAAATTTAACTTTTATTTTTTTTATAATAACCAGCTAGTAAGTATTATATCATAAACTTATTTTTAAAACACAAATGAATTTTATTAAAATATCATCTAATTAAATAAATTTGATCTTTCTTTTTTTTATAATAACCAGAGAGTAAGTATTTTGTTATAAATTTATATCACAAAATAAATCTATTGGAATATCATCTAATTAAATAAATTTATTTTTATTTCTTTAAATAACCAGGAGGCGAGTATTGTAACTTTTACAATATAAAATAAATTTTATTGACTTAAAACATCATCTAATTAAATAAACAATTTTATTTCTTTAAATGATCAGGGTGCAAGTATTATAATTTTTACAACATAAAATAAATTTTATTGACTTAAAACATCATCTAATTAAATAAATTTATTTTTTATTTCTTTATAATAACCAGATAGTAAGTATTTATATATTATAACTTTTACAAAATAATTTTTCTAATAGGCAAATTTATGTTTTATTTCTTTATATAACTAGTGGGCAAGTATTTTATTTTATTATAACTTTTACAACACAAAATAACTCTCATTAAACATCATCTAATTAAATAAATTTTCTTTATAATGACCAGATGGTAACTATTATATTATGAATTTGCTTTTATAAAATAATTTTTATTAAAATATAATTTTTATTTTTTATTTCTTTATAATAATAACCAGGGAGTAAGTATTATACACTTTTACCACACCAAATAATTTTTATTAAAACAACATCTAATTAATAATTTAATTTTTATTTATTTATAACAACTAGTTGGTAAGTATTAAAACTATAAATTGACTTTTATAATACAAAATAATTTTTTTGAGCATCATCTAAATAAATTTATTTTTATTTCTTTAAATAACCAGAGGGTGAGTATTATGCTATAAATTAACTTTTAAAATGCAAGCAATTTTTATTAAAACATCATCTAATTAATAAATTTGATTTTTATAACCAGCTGGTAAGTGTTATATATTATAAATTTACAAAATAAAACATCATTTAATTAAATAAATATAACTTCTACTACTTATAATAACCAGATGGTAAGTATTAACAGGTTTACAAAATAAATTTTATTAAAGTATTGTCTAATTAAAATAAATTAAACTTTATTCTTTATAATAACCAGCTTGTAAGTATTATATTATAAATTACTTTTACAAAATAAATTTTATTATAACATCATTTAATTAAATAAATTTAACTTTTATTTTTTTATGGTAACCAGGGAGTAAGTATTATATTATAAGTTTACTTTTATATTCACAACACAATAAATTTTAAAACATCATAAATTTACTTTTTTTTATAATAATCAGGGGGTAAGTAAGTATTATATTAAAAATTTTGCTAAACAAAATAAATTTATTTTTTATTTCTTTGTAATATCAGATGGTAAATATTTTATTATATTATAAATTAACTTTTTCAATACAAAATAATTTAACATATGATTTATTTTTTAGAACTAACAGTTGAAGAAGGTAAAATATTATATTATAACCTATCTTTTTAATAATACAAAATAATTTTTATTTATAATAAATACTATTTTATTTTTAATTTTATAATGAAAAAAAAAATTATTTAAGATATTACTAAAGGGTTTGAAGATGGAAGAAAGGAAGAATATGGGATTTGTTCTGTTTGTGCAAGACATAATACTAATTATCAGTGGTGTCAACCATGTGATTCCAAATTGTTAGCTCAAAGTTGGACTAGCAGCGGTAATAAAAAATTAGATGAAATAATTAGAAGTACACAGCTTGAAGCAAAAGGATTTGATAGTTATTATTATCTTGAATGGATTCCTTATGACCAACTCACATTTATAAATGAAGTAGGTGAAGGTGGTTTTGCAACTGTATATAAGTGTTATTGGTCAAATGGTCCTAAATTTGTTTATCAGAATAAAAGATATTATAGTAATAATGGTCATGTAGCATTAAAAAAGTTCAAAAATTCACAAAATATTTCTGATGGAATTTTAAAAGAAGTAAATAATTTTGATTGACACAATTAATGATTTTTAAATAATATATTAATTTTTTTAATTTTTTATAAAAGCTTCAAAATCACATTAAATTTATAGGACCATATTACAAGAATATTATTAATATTTATGGTATTTCACAAGATCCCAATACAAAAGAATATGTTCTAGTAATGAGATATACAAAAGATGGAAATTTTAGAAATTATATAGAATCAGAGTATACAGGATGGAATGCTAAAATTACAATGCTTTATAGTATTATCTTAGGTTTAAAGATCTTTCATCAAGAAGGACTTATGCATTGTGATTTTCACAGTGGCAATCTTTTATATTTTCGATATTTACCCCAGAAGGTAATGATTGCAGATTTAGGGTTATCAGGCCCAGTTGATCAAAAACCATCAGGCGAAGCTAGCATTATTGGAGTACTGCCATATGTTGCACCAGAGGTATTAAATAAGAAACCCTATACACAAAAGTCTGACATCTATAGCTTTGGAATTTTAATGTCAGAAATATCAACATGTCAACAACCATTCAAAGATCAACCACATGATCTAGATCTTGCTTTCAAGATCTGTGGTGGCTTAAGGCCTAGTTTTTCAGATAATACTCCAAAATGTTATATTGAGCTAGCATACAAATGCACCAATGCTAGTCCTGAAAAAAGGCCAACAGCAGATGAAATTTTAAAGATTATTACTTTTTGGAAAGATGCAATTAATATTGATGAAATTATAAAATCAAATAAACCTAATTATTCTGAAAAGCAGCTTGATGAATTAAAAGGAATGAGAAAAATATTTGAGGAAGAAGATAAAAAACCTCCTTTTAACCCTTCGACAATTACAGCAACTATTCATCCAGATGCTATTTATACAAGTAGACTATTGAATTTTACAAATCTTCCTCAACCTGTAAATTCCAACAAAGTTACAATTATTAGTAATAATAATGGTAACTATGTAGTTTATTGTTATATATTTAATCTTAATTTTAATGATATTTTAAACTATATTTTAAATTATATTTGTAGAATCTCAACAAATTGAACTAATTATACCAGATGATTTATGAGTAAATCTTATTCACTTGATTGGAATTTTCACATTAGTATAAGGAAGTGCTATATAGTGAATAAACACTTCTTGTTATTATCATTTTTTTTTTTTAATGATGTGATCAATTGTTTTATTTATTTAAATGTACATGCTTTATTACTAATATCCATTTTAAAATAAAGTAAACTTCTTTGTAGTTTAACCTGACTGAAGTGACTTATCACCATAAATGCTAGCTGAAATTGTTTTTACATCTGCCAAGCAAGTATTTTTAATTCCCAGCATTCTTTATATGGTGCAAGTCATCATGATCTAACAAATAAAAACAATTTCATAAAATGATAATGTGAGATAGTAAATCTTGGACCTATCAATTACCCGGTTAATATTGACCAATTAGAACGAATTTACTACGGAAGTCATGTGATGCGCTAAATATTACATCACGACCAATGACTATCTTTCTATGGCGTCCTCAGAAATTAAAAATTTGATTTGATTAAGATTTGATTAACTAATTTGTCAATAAAAATTTATTTAATCTTAGGATTTGATTAAGATTTATTTTACTATTAAAAATAAGGAAAATATTATATATTATACTCATTGCAGCAGAAGTGTTCATTTTCTTTTTGTATTGATTCATTTAAAAAAACCCTTCAAGTTGGATAATTCTTTTCATGTAAAGTTTTAGTACTTGTTTATTTGGTTGTTGTTTTGATATAATTTACCAATTAAAGAATTTTAAGATTTATAATAATAATAATAATATATTGTTAGTAACAATTCCATTTAGAATCACAATCCAATCATTAATTTTCTCTGCATTTTTAATATTCTTTACATCTCAATTCACATCCTCTTCTTCACTTTTGGAAGAAAACACACCACCAATCAAGAAGTGATTTATTAGCTAGAGCAGTGGGGTTTCTTTCCCTCCTTTTTCATAAACCCAATTTCATTATCAGTGTAAATATCATTTTCTGAAATAACATTAATATCATCATCCTTCCAATTCACTCACTATCCAAGGCTTCTCTGAGAGAGTTGCCTTTTTGTTTACATATGATCAGCAAAAAAAAATTTTTAAAGTACAAGTATTCCACCAAATCAATATTTATATTCTCGAAATTTAATGAAAAATCAATAAAGATGGTAATTGTATTTATGTTTGGTATGCTTGGCATATTTTCATGATTACTTTAACAAGATTTTTTAATATTAGAGTTGAAGGATCATCATATACATTGTTTTCAGCATATGGAAGGATCCTTGATATTGTTGCATTGAAAAACAATTAAAATGGGCGGGGAAGCATTTATTGTATTTAGATAAATGCAAAGCACAACAGCAGCTATGATGGGTTCAATTTCTATGATAAACAAATAGTAAATTTTCCAATAAAAATCATTGATTTTTTCATTATGATTTTTGAAAAAGTTGATAAAAAAATATAACCTTTGTTCTTCTTTTGCATAGTTATATTTAAATATATTTTTTCTATTTAAATTAATCTTTCTTTAATTAATATAATCCAATAAAAAACTTATTATTTATTTCTTATAGCTGAGGTTATAATTAAAATGAAGCTGATCTAACAATTTCTTTATTTTTTTCTTTTTTAATTAATTCCTGTCAACTTATCATCATTCTTTATTTATTTTTTAATTTTCACAATGAAAATTTTCCAATTTCTTATAACTAAATAGCATATAGAATATGCAAAATGCTATTGCAAAACTTGATGAAACATGGAAAAGGCCAGGAACTATTGCTTCTACTCAAACAGTAACAGGCCAATTAGGTGTATTACCTGCACAAAAAAAGACAACATGAAGAAGAAGGTACTTAATCATAATCATAATCACATTAATATTAATATTAATAATGATGATGATGATGATGATTTATTTAATATATATTAGGAGCATTTGACAATAAGAGGGCAGCAAATGGTGAAGCTTTCAAAGAAGGCGAATTTGATTCACTGGAAGTTAGTAATTAATTATATTGTAAAAATCATTAAATTTGATCCTTAACAAAAAAACCAACTTTATTAATCAATTATTTAAAAATTGTTTTGCTAAAAATGGAAAAAAGAAGAATAATAATAATCACCAAGACCTGAAACACAACAATCTGAAATTGAGTCACCTAATAGAATTTTATACATACAAAATTTACCATCAGATGTTACTGATGAAATGTGAAGTTTCTTATTTCAACAGTATGTATTACATTTGTCAATATCAAATTATTATCACATATGGAGCTAATAATTTAATCATAATATTATTATTACTGTTATCAGATATCCTGGTTTCAAAAAAAGTCCATCTTGTACCTGAAAAATCAGATATTGCATTTCTAGAATATGAGGCAGATCATAAAGCAACAGTGGCTAAAGATGTGTTAAATGGATTCAAAATTACACACAATAAAGAAATGAAGGTTATACTTGCAAGAAGATGATCAAATATTATATAAATATAAGCATGTTGCAGTATACAGATTTTTAATAATTTCCAAAAAATTTTTTATCGGAGGTTTTAGGAAATCCTACAAAACTAATAAAATACTAATTCATATATTTGTATTAATTAATTTTCCAATTGAATTGAATTGATTATCATTAATTAGATGATAAATAAATTTTACATTATATATAATTAGTGCTTGAAAAATAATAATGTATAATGAGTGATCCTCTAATCATACATAATTTTACTGTCATGGTCAACCAATCAAATAGCTATGTCCAAATTGCAAGTGGTTTCTTGAAAGGTGAACTAAAAATGATTACTACTAAGGGTTAAAGGTTAGTGGTTGATTTTTCTTGTTAGAAGCTTGTTTTAATTTTTTATTCATCAATATCATGCAGTGAATTGCATTATTATTGCTACTCTAGAAACGTTGATTTTCAAAGTCTGTGAGAACATGAACAAATTGGCTAAATGATTTGAATATTCAAAATTTCTGGACAATTATAGTGCGATCATCTATTATACATAAATTTTTAGTGCGTGTAACAGAAGTAGGTAAGAGTCACCCTATTTTTGGAGGGCTTAAAATAACTTTTACAAAAATTGTTAAAAATGGAAAAAATGGACATTTCCTCATCTGACGAGAATACTACACCTCC